ATCACCCCATGTATACCCCCCACAGATCCCGCTTGCCCCCCCAGCCCCTCCCCACTAGTCTCACTATCCCAACTTACCTTAGATCAGGTGGCCATTTTAAATGTGGTCTAACCTCCCTGACTATCTTCACTTAGCTTAAGCTGCCACCCTGCCCTACCTTCTGCCTGACTTCAGAGTGACGCAGGTCACTACCTTTCTGCCCCATCTGATGAGTCTTTTAGGCTCCTTTGGGACCCAGGAATGAGAGAATGTGTCACTTCTGTTCCTTCTTTCCTTCCTATGGGCCTCAGGACTTCTGTAGAAAGAAAGGATTGGATAAGAACTTTATGTATTTTATATGCCAAATTTTTGTGTGTCAGTTCCCCTTGAGAATGCCACCACTGACAGAACCCAGGTTCAAACTTAAAAGGCAGGGATAGAAAGTTACTTATCTACAGAATAACCTGACAAAGATGCAACTGAGCCCAAATTCAGCTTTTCAGACAAAAGACGCTTGTACAACCATTTTCCAGTACTAATGAAAGTTCAGAATGAAGAAGAAAAACAGTCAAAGAAAGACAATGGAAAAAAGAAAAGACATAAGGGAGGGGAAAAGTAAAAGTGGCTACCCTAGAAGAGACTGACAGCAGGGCTTTCTCAACTAAGCATAGCACAAGTTCTCAATTTTGTATTTGGCATCTAGTTTCTGAGGTGTTGGGTGTGTCAGAAATGAGAGAGGCAGAGAGACCTTCCTGTAAATGATGCATGAGGGAACACAGACTCTGTTATGTTTGGTTCCATTATTCCCTTTTCCTTGTGATTAAGTGTACTATACATGAGTGCCTCTACAAAGAAAGTAAATACAGCATGGGACATAAATAACTGCATAAAAGTTGATAAGCAATACTAGCATGGCTTAAGAATATTTAAAATAGTTATAAGAACAAGTACAATGTATCATGTAATACCTGCCTTCAGAATCAAACTACATTAAAAGGTGTAAATTAAACAAAAACTTTGAAAACTTTTCAGCAGATACGCACAGTGCTACTAATTTTTTATTCCTCTGTGTGCTTGTTTCACACTCACTTTATTAAAAGGTTGAAACTGCTTGAATACTGGAACTGTCAAACCTATACATAAATGATTAGGAATGCTCCACTAATAATTTCCAGTAGAACTCATCATTGAGTTTCCTTATGAGAACATCTCTCTCCACTTTGAATGCTACTTAAGACTTAAAACTCTTTCTTGAGTGATTCATTTATTCTTGAAGATAAACGGTCCAAGTTGATTATGTTAACATTGTCACAGACTGGCGCTTCTCATTGTAGATTGTATCAGGCTCTGTAATGATTGCCTATTGTCTTGGCTGAGAGATGCATTTTGACCGTTACTGTCTGCCAGTGACAATTTTTTCCTTAATTTAGGAATTCCTACTTCTTACTGAGGCCAGCTGGAAACAACTAAAGCATTACAGCACCTTCCTCAGCTGTTGGCCATGGGAATATGTATTCTCTCCAAAATATATATCTTTGGCAGGGAACAGAAAGAAGGAATCTTGGGTAATTGTTTTGTATGCCAAGTGTAAGGATTGTTATATTTAACGCCTAGATTTCTGTTCCTAAAAGTATGTTCAAAAGAAGTTCAAAAGTAGGCCAGTATACATATATAGGGTGTTTAGATTTTATGCAAATAACATTTTAAAAATAGCTGTTAACTATATTTATCTATATTTGTTTTCTTATAGAGCCTTTAACATGAGTGTTTTACATGACTTGCTGCTTGAACGGTTTTACAGTACCTTTAGGACTATGTCCAAAATGCACAGATTAACAGCCACATAAAAAACTCTGGCTGAATATTAGAACATTTAGTCTAAACCTACAAACACAGTTGTCCTACGGGAATTTTTGCTAATCAGTTACATGGCCTCAAAATGTAGGTCATCTGAACAGTCAGAAGTAAGAAATAACTAAAACGCCACAAAAAGAAGGACAGTGTGTACAAGTGTGACATTCTTTTAGGGGAAAAGGTATAAGAGAGTATTCGTGAATTCTCAGTGATTAAATGAATAAATTGAAATTAAATTAGGCTTTACTAAGAAAACCTGCTGAATCTCCACATTTTACTAAGGAACTAGGTTGGAGTAATGTATTTTAGGTAAATCATTATTTTGATTTAACTAGAATCTTGTCCGAGTAAAACATTGCATAACATTAGCATGGAAGAGATACCGTAAGTGGAAAGCAATAATGTGATGTAACTTGAGGATAATTTTATTTTTTTAAAACATAGGAAGTTACTAATGCAGTTATAATCCACTGTGGGGGGAGGAATTGCTGCCTAAAATTGACAGTGGTAGGAGGAACTGCTGCCTAAAATTGACATATAATGGATGGAACAGGCACTGATTTGAATATTTTTAATGAGAACTAATAAGTCTTAGAAATGGTTTTGGGAGAAGTTTTGCCACACAAATTAAAGTATGCAAGTGAATATTCAGGTCTCTGTGCAGTACTATATGTGGCAAAACTGAAAGACGGATTTTATATCTCAATCTGCTTGCCGCTGCTCTGCCAGCAGTGAGGGTCCTTTGGCAACACCAGAGCACCACCTAGGGCACAGACAGAAGAGCACCTCCACATTGCAACTCAGCACTTTGCAGGAAGCGCTTTGAGTTGCAACAATGCCCTGAGCAAAGCAGGAGTTCTCTGTTGGGACCAGGAGTTCAGGATTCCAGCTGCTTGCTGTGAGCCTGCAGCCCGGTCTCCATAGCAATGCCCCTCCTACCCTGTCACTATTTTGAGAACGGGAGTGGAGAACAGGAAAAGAGGGAGCTGGTTCTTGGGGCTCCCCATCCAGTGCTGGAGAGTGGGTGTTTTGGACCCCCCCCCCACCACCTCAGGGAGCCTCCAACAAATCCACCCTACCCTCTAGTGCCGGCTGAAAAAGCCCCCAACCAAACTCCCTCCATTCCCTTTCCCCACTCCCATTCTGAAAACAGTGATGGGCTGGGAAGTCCACAGACAGAAGTTACTGAATTTGCTCCATTTTGCAGCTTGTCCATTTGAACCCTCATGCAATGAGAGTTCAGATTTTTGCAGGTTCAGGCCCTTTTAAAGTGGTCTGCAGCCACACACTTCTATTTGGTCACATCAATAGAGTGCTTTCTGGGGCCAGATTAGGCAAAAATTGTAACTTCTATCTGTGCCTCTAGGCACTCTGCCACCTTCAAGAGCTACCAAAGGAGGGGAAGAGTGAGTGTCTTTTTTTCACCATAATCCTAAGACTCCACAGTAGCATTAGGAGTAGTGGCAGTGAGAGAGCAGGGTACCAGTTCCAGGAACCCAGTTAGAAGGGAGTCCAAAAATGGCAGTCACTGCAGCCGGCCAGGTCCCTGCCATTGCTGCCACCCAGGGCACAGACCCTACTTGTTACACCTCTGCAATTCCATGGATTCAACTGGCCAAGAAGCAGTGCAGGATCAAGTGTGTAAAGAGCAGTGATTGGAGCCAGCTACAAATCTGGCTCTTAGACCACGTATTAGTGGACTTGAATAATTGTGGTTTATTTTTAATGCCATCCAGTGATGTGCTTTTCTCCATTTGTTGAAATGACATAAGGCTATGTATAATTGAGAGAGTTTATTAGACTACTTGGTTTTCAAGTGCTGATCAGAAAAATTGACAGTCTAAAAATTGCACTTTAAACCTTTATGAATCCACGCTGCATATAAGTTGTGCTAACAGAAATACATTTGATACGTCTTATAAAGCAGCAGGGAGAAGACAAGAATGGGAAAGTGACCTTGAATTATTTTCTGGCTTACAAATCATCAGCAGAATTGTTAAATGAATTCTGAATGCAGAATTGTTATTACTGGTGATGATGTGTGAACTAGGTACAGCTTAATCACCAGGTCCCAGACTGAGTTTACAGTATGAGTAATGTGAAAAATCATCTTTTAAATTGTAAACCTATCAACTTGGATGTAGAAGTCACTGAAAACAAGTAGACACAGAACCCCACCATGCCAGGATCACAGAATCACTTTCTACTGCTTAATATCACTTCAGTCATACAAAATAAAAATAAATACGGAGTTAAAATCAACACAGCGGTGGCAAGATAAGGGAAGAATGGCTTTAGGACTAAAACTCAGGGCAATCAGAAAATCTTTTTTCTTGCTTTTCACAAACCTTCTACAGTCTCTATTGGCAAGTCACTTTTATTATCTGTATGTCTTATTGAAATCATAGAGAAATAGGGATGGATGGGACTTCCAGCTTGTCAGCTGGCCACACATAGGTCCTCTAGCACAACTCCCTACCTGAGGCAGGATCATCCCCATCCAAATCATCCTATACAAATCCATAATCTAACCTCTTACCATCAACCCTGACACAACATAACACCCTCAATTTCCTCATGCAAAAGTGGGATAGTAATATGGGATTTTTTTCCCCAAAAGGGTATTGTAAAATGATAATTAATTGTTTATCAGGCACATTGGTTTCCTTGGGTAGAAAACACTACATAACTGCAAAGTAATATGATTTAATATGTAAATGGAAAATATATAACATAAGAAGTTGGTGGCACTCAAACATGAAGAGGTCATGGGCACTCAAACAAGTTACTATAATTTAAAAAAAGAAGGGTGAAGATTTACAGCATGTCAGATTCTGCACCTTCATGGCAACCCCTCAGTAAAATAAGACTAAGTTACCATGGGTTTGCATTTATTCACCAGAGTGTTTACATGGACAGTTACCTTACAGCTGATACCCTGTAAAGCCCCATTTTCCCTTACTTCACAGTAATTTGTTTATGGGCCCATGCTTGCAAACTGAATCTGAATAAGACTGAAAACCTTGGAAGAAACAAGTGGAATAATTGCTGAATACTAAGGGGATGTAGTCACTGTTTGTGTTTGAGTTCCACACTCTCCCAGAGTTTGCAGTAGTTGCATCCAGGGTTTGGTTTGAATTTATCTCCAGTTCTGTGTCGTAATGCATGTTAAATAAGGCACTCTAAGGATAGATTTATATGGGTGTTTAAGAAATTAAATTTGCCAATACTCCTTCAAGAGTACTCTAAGGAATGTCTCAAATACTGCCTAACTGCTTCCATGCCACAAGCTCCCAGCCCAGAAATGAGGCAGTGAAACCATTCTGCTGCTGTTCTTGAGATCTGTGCCTGGCATATTTTAGAGCAGCAATGAGGGAAGCCTCTAAATAGCTTCACTCCCTCATTTCCAGATTTGGGACATGCAGAACAGGAGGGGATGTGCAGGGCGTGCTTGAGAGCAGGACTCCTGAGAGTGCTACAGCAGTGGCATAGGCAAACGCTAAGATTTCTTTGAGTAAAAGTGTAGTACGTGCCATGTGGCTGCATAAACACACAGTTTTCTAGTCCATCTGTGTACAGGAGATTAAAATCACATTGAAAGTATTTTTCAGTTGTAAGACTTTCCAACATGTAATAAAAATATAACTGTAAGAAAGCAGATGAAATAAAGGATTAGAGTCAAGATTACTAGCAGAGTAGGAAAAAATGGCAATATATCTTATTTTGCAATGAAATTACAGTTAAAGCAATGGCATATATGTGACTGGATAAATAGCGTACATATACCTCAAGAGATTCAGCACGTGTCAAGTCAGCAAGTGGGTTTCATCAGTTCAAATTAGATTTCATATGCATTTGTAAGGCACTGCCTTGGTTTATTTTCCAGGATTTTATTTCACAATCATACTTTACACTGAAATATTGTACGGTAAAAGGCTATGTGACACCACTCACCTTTTTTACAGTAAGATGGTTAGGGTGATTTGGGGTCTGTACAGTTAATGCTCATGTGTATGTTGATATGTGATGCACAATACTTGTGTGCATTGTACCACTGAAATAAGATAACTAAATAGTTTCTAGGTGCAATCTTTATTCTAAATTCAGAAATGTTTTCTATGCATCTCCTCTGGAATATAAATAAGTGCTTGGACAGTAACTCTGTCCCTATCCCTATCCGACACATGTACTGCTGCTCTGAGTAGAACTGGTCCACACTAAGGGTAAAGTTACATGTTACACTTAGATTGTACTAAATGCACTTAAAGCATGAGTGTTTAGATGTTAAAGCTCATGAACTCACGATAAGTACCTTCTGAATGTCCCAGAGTTGCTCCAGGGATAACTCTGGGTAGTACTACCTAGCTCATATTAGGATAACTTCAGTCTGCTCCACAGAGATAAAACAAGCAATTTGTAGTCCTCCAGAATCTCACACCTCTCCCAACCCAGGAATGGAGGAATAGAGCCAAGGGACAGAGCCCTGCCCCTGCTCAACAGTCCTCTAGTGGCCAGTCAGAGCTCTGCAGGCAAGAATGGCATTAACATGCAACTGCTTGCAGCACATTCTAATTTTACATGGCTTAACAGTCCACAGATTTAGTATGGTTTAAGTGTAACAAGTAACTTCCCCCTTATATACTGTCACTGTTATATTATCTTTCAACTGTCTATGCTCATGGGTGGCAAAAGAATATTTCTACAGTCCACCAGCCTTAGGACTGTGCCAGTCCCAAGACTCTTACTTGATATGGTTAGTAATCTGCTGAAAAGAAGCAATCAGACTTTGGATCTCAACGGTTACAAACCATTGTGTGTAAGAATACCTGACTGAAAACTATCTGGGGTAGTTTTTTAAGTGATTTGGGGGACAGCTCAGTGAGAACAAGCAATCAGCTTTTCTTTTCTGTGATTGTGCTGTGTATATTCAGTCCCTGCTCGGTCATCATTAGGGCCCAAAATTTGTCACTCAAATTACTGCATGAGTGAACAGCAATTTTATCAAAGTGGCAGTTCCTACCTTGAATACTTTTATACTAAGTGCTACTGAAGTTTCCTTTCTCAGCATGAAGGAAGGATTTTCCACATGAGCCTGTTTTGTTGGCACAACTTCCACTGACCACTTCCTTTTTTCTCTCCATCAGATCTCAACTTCTTCCCACAGGTTCTTTTCTTCCCCCTATTTCCCTTTCTTGATTTTGCCATCTCCTTTTTTCCCCTTGTTCCAAACACTCCATGCTTGGAGAGTAAGAGTGAAGGAAAAAGCCTATTGATGAGCTTGTCATGTTACAGGAGTTCAAAAGAGGCATGTCAGACCGATTTGATGCTTGAAGAAAGCATGACACCAGAAGACAGACTTAAAAAGAATTGGCAGATACTCTGCTTGGTGAAGCACTTGTACAGCAGGTTTGGGAGTACAGCTGGTTCTTCACCCACCATGGCCTTTCTTCTTCAATCTCTCTGAGCTTCTACCGTTGCTCCACCCAACCCTATTATTATGTATTATGAGTGCAAATTCAGAAACTACAGTGGGAGATCAGCCATTGTTGCTTAGGGGCTTCCTTTGCTTTGGTGCTTTTACCACTAGTGCTGTCAGATGAGTCACCTGGGCAATAAAAGGCAGTTGGCACCAGTGCCCAATCCTGGAGAGGTATCATAATCAATTGGGGGCAAGGATAGGGGCACCTTACAGGATCGGAACAATTTCCCTTGGGTCTTAGCCATTACCACATTTTTAGGGGGTTTTTTTTCTTTTAATGGTTTTCATTAATTAATCTGTCATAAAATCCCAGCTCACTGGTGTCAGCAACAACACAGCCATGGACTTTAATGGAGCTCAGGAATTCACCCTAATTTTAATGGGCAAACCCAGAATTCTAATATATGCCTTTCTCCCTTCTATTGTAGTGCTCAGTTACCTGTGGCAAAGGAATGCAGTCTCGAGTAATCCAGTGCATGCACAAGATCACAGGAAGGCATGGCAATGAATGTTTCTCCTCAGAAAAACCTGCAGCATACAGACCCTGTCATCTTCAACCCTGCAATGAGAAAATTAATGTAAACACCATCACATCACCGAGGTTAGGTAAGCAGCCAAAATAACTACCCCTATCTTGGGAGTCTTTAAAAAGAGACTGGACAAACACGTGGGTGGGGTCATCTGACCCCAGCACTTCTTTCTGCCCGGGGCAGGGGGTTGGACTCAATGGTCTGCTGAGGTCCCCTCTGACCCTGAAAATCTGTGAAACTATGATGATGCAGTAGTTACCTTTTCTGTCTTCTCCTATGAAGGTGAATGATGGTCTGTGACTAATAGCATAGGGCAGGGGCTCAGGTGATTTTGATTCTATCCTCAGCTCTCCTCAGTCAAGACAGTTATAATATAATAAATGTATTGTTGTTAATAATATTTATTCAGGCAGTTGAATTTTAACATCTCTTTACCTCAGTTTCCCCATGCATAACTTTGGGGACCCTTCAGAGTGATTTTAGGAATCTTGATTCATTAATGTCTGATGCAGACATTAATGTTCTGTTCTAAAAGTGCTGCTAAACATGCAGACAGTGATGCTGTTAGATTGGTGTTAGAAATGTATTTTGAACAGATTGCAACATGCAGTTTCCTAAACTTATACAAATCTCAAAAGTCTTTTTGCAAAGTTTTCCAAAAGCATTTCTCACGGTTTTTGCAGGATCAAGAAGCATGTGGTTCAAGGAATTTACAGCAAAAAATTCCTTCCATCAATCTTTAGGCCAAATTACTAGCCCCTATTCCTGAAAGCCTAAGATGTGAGAGGTTCAGTTACTGACATAAAGGGGTTTTAATCATGTCATTGAGACCCTTTTTAAAATCCCAAAGTTCCTTCACCTGTTTCCTGGTAGAAAATCTGGAAGGAATTCAACAATGGCCATAAAGACAGAGCTGTTAATATGACCAATTTTAAAATACTACTGGAGTTTTGATGCTAGTCTCTCCATCAGGTCCTTAAAATGTCAGTCTGATCCTTGAGCATGATTGGGGGGTATATTCAACAGTTTGCTATCACCCAGTATACCCTTTCCAGATGATTTTTCAAAGCTCTTGTTAGGATAAACCCTCCTGTCAAACAGATTATTCCTGCACAGAAAGCAAGTCTAATGTTTCAGGCTGTGTGTATAATCCTCCCTTTGAGCCAACCCAGGGTATTCCTCTTTGATGTTTTTAACCTTTAAAGCATTTTGTGCTGTGGCCATTGTTTCAGCCTGCTGGATCAGATGGCAGCTGTATCTTACAGTCCTTCTCATCTGCTATTTCAGAGGGACAAAGTTGTCCTTCATATTTTATCTTTCTTTGTTCACAAGTGCCCAAATGATCACAATCAGAAGCAGAGTACCATCTTCCCATCATAGTCATTCTCAGTTTAGTCAAGTAGACGCATCTTCATGCAGGCTACAGAGCTGTATGTAAATAAATACAACACAGGCACTTCCAGTTGATTAAAATGTGTTAACTTAATTTAAAGGGCCAGAAAGTGAGTATTAGACCCCACAAGGCTATGTTGTTCATGTGGATCAGAATGTGTAGTGTTGATGCTTGTAATCTCACAGTCAGTTTTACTCAATATTATTTAGGGCATATCTTACCAGAAGCATGTCTAAGACCGCTGGCAGATGTTCATTTACATGCACCATGAAATCTGATATCCAGTGCCAACAATCACACTTCCTGTCATGCCACATGGCAGGAGGCGCTATTTTGGAATCAAGGATCAGATCCAATTCACAACCTACTTGCCAGTGCAGGGGGAGCCTGAGGTTCCCCCTGCACCAGCAAGTTGAAAGCTAGGTATCCGTAGGGCCAGGACTGAGGCCAACAATCAGCTGATTGTCATTTTGGGCTGGGGACCACTCTGGGGCTGGTTCTAGACTCTGGTGCAGTCTCCAGCCAAAATTAACAATCAGCTGATTGTCAGCTGGCCACACATTCAATTCAAGGTGACGCACAAACCAGTCATAAAGCTGTTCTACATCAGGCATTGACAACCCCCAGTATGCAAGCCAGAGCATGACACACAAGGCCATTTTCCTCAGCACGCTATAGCCAGCCCAGGCTCTGGGAAGCTGCCGCTGACCACAGAGCCTGGGCTGCTTGCAGCAGGAGGCTAAGAGGCTGCAAGCTCTGCTGCAAGCAGCCCAGGCTCCATGGTAGGCAGCAGCTGCCCAGAGCCTGTTTGTTGGCTGCAGCTGGGAGGCTGCAAACAGCTGCACAGGGCTCAGCAGCCCCGCCACCGGCTCTGTGGCTGTGGTGGCTACACATGTGCCTCCGGATGCACAGCCAGGAAGGGGCTGGGACAGCACAACCCCAGCCCTTCCCCCACCATCTGTCATGAGGCACACATGAAGCCCAGTGCTGGGGTTGCAAAACCTGGCACAGCTGTTTGCAGCCTGCCTGCCACTTCCTGCCATTATCCAGAGCCTGGGCTGACAGTGGCAGGCAGCTGGGAGGCTGCAAACTGCTCTGCAGGGTTTTGCAGCCCTGGCTCCATGGAAGTAGCAGCTGCACACACATCTTGGGGCAGCCAGCAGGGGAGAGGCCAGGGTCGTGTTGGCCCAGGCCCCTTCCCAGCTACGTGCACAAAGTTATGTGAACAGCCACAGAGCTGGTGCTGTGGCTGTGGAGCTTGGCATAGCTGTTTGCACCCTGCCAGCTGCCTGCCACAGCTGGTCTGAGCTCAGGGCAGCTGTAGCAGTCTCAGGGCAGGCTGCACCAGGCTCTGGCACTCCAGCCCTGGCTCTGTGGTGGCAGTGCACAGCGGGGAAGGGGCTAGGGCAGTGCAACCGTGGCCTGTCCTCAGCTGTCCACTCGAAGATGCTCGTGCAGCCACCAGCAGTGAGAATTGGGCCCCTCATGGCTCCCCTGTCTCTGACACAACGAGTCAAGGTGTGGGTGGAGTTTGGTGTGTTTTTGGGACTAGCCAAAATCATTGCCAACTGCTGTTCAACATTATACGTGGAACAATGTTATGGCTAGTTTGCCATTTTATAGACCCTTAAATTGGGTGTGTATGTAGCATCCTTGTTGTTTATGCCACAGTTAACAAGTTAATCATGGTAAAAATGTAATGTATAGAGTGTGTGGGCCATAGAGGCTCCTTGGGTAGATTTGCATTTAAGACTTCAGGCACATTTTTACTAGGCAATAGCAATACCTGTCAAAAACCATTTTTGACATCTGTTCTAGTTTCTATTTTTGAAGTAATCTCGCCTTTTTTTCTATTTTAATGGAAGGAGAGCTGCATAGCTCTTAACTGAGACTGACCTTGTCACCTCAAAGGATATGCAATTTATGATGGGTTTTTTAACAATGTCTTCAATGCCCTACTCTTAGCTTTTGTTCTATTCTAATGTTGTTTGCACATTTAATTATGTGTATAACATTGGAACATACAACATTAGATCAGATTAATACACACACACACACACACACACACACACACACACACACACACATCTCAGTTTGGGGCCTCTAGACATGACAGACAGACAGACATATAAATCAAAGTGTCTGTATAAATATATATAGTGTCTAGTGGTTCCAAACTGCTGGGATCAAGGTGTTCTGTGTTAAGTACTGTAAACATGCATGGGGGATAGAACAAGTGGACAAACAGGTGGATGGACCAGAGGGGAGGTGGATGACAGTAGCTTGAATGAGCCTGTTCTGCATAGTAAGCAATAGCACAACTTACTATCTATGTAACCATAGTCCCTTGGCATCAAGGTAATGGTAAGTCTTAAAGAGGAATCTTTCAAAGAATGTGATAGATTTTTTTTTTTTGGAGTGGAGGGTGGTTGACGTATTACAGACAGCATTTTTCTCATACATCGATGGTGGTGAGGAAGAAGATATGAAGCTAGAAGCTGACTCTCCGGAATATTGGCAGAGTGAAGGTCAGTCACGATGAGCTATAGAGCAACTTGGAAGGACGGTGAAAAAAGAGAGAAAGAGAAGTTTGTGTTCATGTGGTAGAAGGTAAAGAACCAGTTGAGTGACAGAAAAGTTAATGATGGGATGCACTGACCCAGGGATAATCTTAGCAGCATGATTTTAATGGACCTGACCTCCCTAGGCAGCCAATGCCAAAATACAACAGTAAAGGGTGCACAGAGATGCACCTTTTAGCATTGCCCTACAGCTGAAGCAAGGATGGAGGTCTTTCAGTTACCTTTTAGGAAGGGTTTTTTTGGAGTTGAGGGTTGTGTTTGGGAAGAGAGGGTGGGATTAGGTGCGTTTTTTGGAGAGGGGTTACAGTCACAGCCCCTTTGCAGGAGACATGTAAAGGCTTGGAGGGGATGTTGAGGAAAGGTGGGGGGATCACCCCTGTAATGGGATGGTGGGAGTAGTAAAAGTCTTTTGTAAGCGGATGTGAGTGGTGGTGGGAAGCCGTGGTTGGGACTGGCAGAAGTTTGCTTGTGTGAATGTGGACAGGGAGGTGGTGGTTATAGGCACAGGGTTGTTGGACTTCCCAGGTTTTTGGGTGTTTGAGGAATCCTGTCTGTGAATTGTTTGTTTATTGGAAGCTGCTCTGAGCCTCTCAGAGTGGGATATAAATCTAATAAATAAATAAGATTTCAGTGGTCCTGGCCAGAAAGGAAGAGACTGCAGTAAATAAAATATGATCAGGCCTGAAAGAACACATTGTCCTAATGCTGGAATATTTATTTCTGCAGCTAGTGATTGCTATTTTCTTGCAGTTTTCATTGTCTACGTAATTGTCACTTGCTATTTGCTTCATTTAAGCTTGACTATTTTTAAAACTTTGTTTATAAATGCCCTTATGGTAGATGCTGTGCCATTTTGACAGGGAATCTACTGAGACAATATAGAATGGTCCCTTTTTCATCTGAGTGGCTAACCAAAATTCAGGGTCTTGCTGGGTATTCCAGTGTGGAGGGAGGGGTGGAATTAATTATGATATCATATAGCTTTGATGTGTTTCTAGTTATAACAACATGTGCTTTCTTAAGCATAGGAGAAAATGAAATAACCAGAAGCTGTTTCTCAGCTTGGTTTCCAGCTCCAAATCTCTTTTAGTATGTACTCCTTCCCCCTACACCTCAAAAGTTCCCATAGACATGGCCACATAGTACTATTTTGGCTTTGTTAAAGCTTCCTTTCAGTCTGAGAGCCGTCTTACTCGTGCCACCTGAACTACCTCTCATCCACTGTCCCTGTCCCCCTCCATATGCACCTTATCAAAATAATAACCAGCCAAAGCCACTTCATGTGGCACATTCAAATTCCCCAGCAGTCTTGCATTTGCCCTTGTTCTTGGTAGAAACATGGGCTTATCTACTTCTTACTGGTATCTAAATGGAGGGGAGTAATTAAACCTATCAGTTTCAACAAGTTTGAACCAGGCTGTAACATAGCTTCAACAATTCTGCCTTTTCTACCTGGTTATTTACTGACAAATTTAATAACACATAGCTGTGTGTATGTCTTTCTTATGTTGTTTCACAGCTGCTTTAACATTCAAGTGCCTTGGAGACCAGTGGCCAGTCTACTGCAGGGTAATACGAGAGAAGAACCTCTGTCAGGACATGAGGTGGTATCAACGTTGCTGTGAGACATGCAGGGACTTTTACGCGCAAAAAATGCAACAAAAAAGTTGACCTCTGGCAGGCTGGCTGGCTTTCAGCTCTTGTATACTTATTTATAAACACACACACACGCATACACACACACACAAACATACACATTCACACTCCAGCACGCTTCTTCAGACCAAATATTATCAGATTACATATAATTTAATCAAATTAATTTATTTTGCCTGCCAGACATTCTTTATTGTTTTGGTTAGACATCCTTCTTCTTTTATCCTCTAAGGTTTTCATAATTAATTTTATATGAACAATTTTGGATACATTTATCAGAATTTTTAAAAAAAGAAATCATTAGTGTATTTTAAAAATTTATTTTCAGTAGGGTCATGTCTCTGTTGCCAAAAAGCCATCATGTTATCTTGAATTTATTTTAATTTAGCTGAATAGTTTTGCTGTATATGGAAATAAAGCCCATTTTTATTTTATTATAATTTTTGGCATACAGAGTCAGAATGATCTTGTGTATTTTGCAACAGATGTTAAGGTGACTAAGCTAACATTATTGAACAGGTTATTACAGAATGTATTGTGAAATCAGTTCCTCTTTGATTTAGAGACATACTGTAGGAGAGAATCTACTGTAACTTATAACCTACTAGAAACAAAAAAAAAATCAAATAGCAAAGTAGGGATTTTGATCATGCTCATAAACACATACTTGAACACAAGTATTGAATCAATGAAACACTGTAGAGATTTACACTGAATCACTGTTGCACTGTTTGAGGTAGGATAGAGAAACACAATTCTATAACTTGTACCATCCTATGAAAACACGTCTGTACTGTTTTAACATGTCACTTGATTTTAAGTGTTTTTAAACAAAAGACCCATGCCCCTATATGCCTTGTGTGTCCTTTCGCATTTTTATAAATGGAAGTGTCCTTGCTCCTGACACTTGTGTATAAGTTAATCTGTTAAACATTTTCACTTTTCTGAGGACTTAGAAGATAGCCTTGTGATACTGCTTTAGTTTTACTTTTATGAAAAAAGTCTTTATAAAAATAAAATGTTTTGCACTTTTGTGAAACATTATGAAACAGCTAAATTTTCCTTATGAGAAAATATTGTACATGATTCACATGATTTTTACATTTTCAATAAAAAAGTAAAGCTTCTTTCTTCATTTGTATTTTCCTGTTGTGTGTATTTGTGTCTAAGATCTGGATCCACAAAAAACAGCACACTGAGCAGAGAACCTTTTAAGGTAGCCTATAGGAAATGACAAGGATAGGGGTTGTCTTAAATTCCATCCCTCTCCGTGGCATTGCTGCCTTTCTCTGGTTTCAGGGAGACATCTTTTCTACAGTATTGAACCTTTTCCTGGAACTGGGTACATTTCAAAAGGAGGGACTACTCCTTTATTTTAATGACTAGGAAGCAAATAGAGTGGTTAGAGTGCTTAACTAGTGGTTAAAGCACTCATCAAGGGTGATTGAATGTTTCTCTTCCCAGAGAGTGCCCTACAGATGGAGCTGTAATCCTAAACTTTATTTTGAATAATAATGTATACATTGGACCAGAAAAAGAGAGAAAAAGAGTGATAGAAAATGAGAATAAATAAAATTAACTGGGAACGAATGAGAGAATAGTTTAGTGATTAAGTCACTCACCTGGAAGAAGGTCCTACACCTATGTACATGTTTCTGCTCTAATAAAATAAAGATATTTTATCAGTACAGGGACTGAAACTTAAATGAGAGTCCTAACCACTAGGCTCTACAGAGATGCTCAGTCTGTGTATCTGACCACTTCATATTTAACTATTACATGGAAAGTAGAATGGCTTCCAGAGGAAAGACTGAGAGTACTTCTCCCCATCTGTCTCCCCACTTCCTCCTCCCCATTCAAAATATCTCTAACATGGTGCTTAGTGCATGGTCCTAAGAGGTAGGTCATATGAGTTTGAGTCCCCTCAGGCTAAGGGGGAATTGAACCATGGTGTCTTGCATCCTGAGTGCTGTAACCATTCAACTATAGAATTAAAAGGGTGATGGTCACCATTACCTAGCCTGACTAGACTTGGCTGTGAGGTAGGCATGAAGTGGTGCCACACTGTCAAGAATGATGTGCTTTTGGGCATCCCTGCAGAATTGTACTGACTGTAATTTAGGTATCTATGGGCTAAAGATGTCTCCAGAGTTAGGCAGTACTTGAATAGGGATTTTGAGGATTTAAATGTTGGACCTAGGATCCACATCTTAAGAGGCTAAATCTTGCCTTGTGGATCTAATCCACAGGAACACAGCTTTCATCTTGGGTTAGCAGATCGAGTTCAGCCCCAGGATCCTTATATGCTTGAACTCAGACTGTTAACTACAGTTAAAAGCAGTCACTTTGTCTTTACTGCTGTTGTAATCCTGGTTAACCTGGGCAAGCCTATCTCAGTTGAGGATACACCTCTCTTATAGTCCAGATGTTTTAGGGCCCAGACAAGCACAGATGTTTGTTTCGCTGGGAACAAGTAACAGCAGCACACTTTGTGCCACTGCTATTTATCCCCAGAGAATGCCCGTGCCATGCACGCTCTGGCGCACGCCAGGGTACCCTGGGTGGCGTAGGGGAGGCTGCTTTACCTGGAGCCCTGGGGGTCTCCCAGGGCTGCAGCAGTGACAGAAAGTCTGGCCAGCAGTTGGAGCATGACTTTGGCCAGCCAGGTTCTGGTTTGGGGCAGTGCACGCTGCCGCCATGTGCACCACTTGGCTTTTATTTTTGGCATGGGTTTTTTTGACCCCAAGATCTCCAAGGGTCAAAAAGAAACCTGGGCTGCAGGGCGGGGAACATCTGAATGTGTGGTACTGCAGATGGGTCTGTGATGCCACATCCCGCACATCCATGCTCACCTGGACGTGGCCTTAGAGTCGCAGCACAAAGTGCTTAACGTGGTCTTTAATTGCACTTTCTAATTGACCAACAGTTAAGTATGAAGTTTAGTGTGTAGATTTAGACTAAGATAAGTGTCTCTATGTATTTGTTACATATAATGTTTTTGGGGCTCCTTTAAATTATGCCTCACCCTTCTTAAGTTAATTTCTATAACCATTTATTGTATCATTGTTTCATTTTACCTGTGTACAGAAAGAAGAAATTTGGGCCCACAGTCAAGAAATGTAAACAATTTTATAATGGAGAAATGTTATTTTTTCAAACTTAATTTATTAAGCAAGCAATTCTTGTTTAAAAAACTGAGACTCAAATTCTTATTTCTTTGGCCTAAAGGAAGGGGGAGAGAATCACACCTGTTGCCTGGGGCTAATGTGTTCTTTAATTTTCTCTGAAGATGTTATACAACTATATTAAATACAATATAATAACTGAGGTTCTGGTCAGAAAGCCTCCCTGCCTAGGAAGAGCACTTAAGTCCCTCATTAATTCCCACTGATGTTGGTAGAGGTATTTTAGCATACTTGATCTTGAAATGCCAGAATTTTAGCTTTAGCATTTCTGGGTTCAGAAATACAACTTGAATGCACTAATGTATGATGATGAATTTTAAAAACTGAGGAAGAAAAGATTTAAAAAAAAAACAATTCTGACATTAAGAATGTTATTTTTGCATAATGGCAAATGACACAAATAAATTGTGTGTTATTTACAGCTAGAAGACTTGGCTACTATAGTACACTGCTCTACAATGTCACAGACACTTATGTAATATACAATCTGGTTCTATAATTTAGCTGTCTTGAGGATTTTTTTCCCTCAGATTTATCGAGAATTTTTACAAATGCTTCTGCACTTGCTTAGCTTCAGGGCCCAAGAGGCTTAATTTCAACAAGGACTATTATCTATATTCTTTTAAGATTAAAAGTCCTACAAGTTTTCACTTTTCCATGAAGAAAACTTGCTTTCTAAATAGACAAGCACAAGCAAAGTTATATACTAAGTTGATTACATCCTTAACTGTGGCTTTCATTCCTTCAGTAGTTATGTTATAGGACTATTCATTAGATGTATGTGAAGTTTGTGTGACTTGAAGTCATTATGTATATGCATAGTCATAGACTAATAGCGAAGTAGGGCTGGAAGGAACCTTGAGAGGTCATCTAGCGCAAACCACTGCCTGAGGCAGGATCATGCCTATCCAAACCATCCTACACAAATCCATTGTCTAGCTTCTTAGCAAAACTAAATAATCAGCCTTGACAACACAATACATATCACCCTAATCTGCCACAGGTAAAGCAGGGGACCATGGCAACCAACGTCCTGCTGCTCCAAAGTTAAAAATACACTCAAGAAATCCAGTCTAAGTCCTTCCTTTTAGTAATTGTCTGATCGCTCTAAAATCAACTAGATTTTACTTCTTTTTTAAGCATTCACCACAATTCAAAGAAACAACACAGATCAATACGCTGTGTTGTTACAAAATAGGATACAAGTTTTGAAAATGTGTTTGGTTGGTGGGCTGTAAGTATGATAGCCTCAAAATGTATTACTACCTTGCACAGCAATGTCACTCCAGAGACTATACAGATTGGACTGACAGCTCAGAGCACTTTCCAGATGTGCTCAGTGAAGCAGTTGCAGTCTTCAGCTGCTAAGCAATCGCATCAGAATTTATTCAGTTCTCCTAACAATCCCTCTCTATTAATAGGTTTTCCTTCCAGGCTGATGAATATATAACACTTCAACCAATGTCAAAGCAGTCAAATTCAGTTGGAAAATAAAGATGAAATTCACTCTGGTTCACAGGGGCCAGCCTGGGTGCTTATTAAATCCCACTTACACTCTGTTTTGATGGATGAAGTGGGATTTTAGCAGTGCAGAGAGCTTGTTCTAGTTGTACACTGTGGGGATATGTGAAGCACAACTCTGACCAAAAGTTCCCCCCAGTTATCACTCACTCTACCTTCCTGGCTAGTAATTCTTCTGGCATCATTTCAACTGGAAGAGTGTTTTATTTCAGTTTTTTGTGTCAAGTTTTTCTTGATGAGTACCACAAATAGCTTGTCCTTTGGCCATTTATATGTAAAAACATTTTTTTTTTTAAAGTGAGTGGTCAGATCTGATGAAGAATGTGTTGCATTTGGAAGCCTGTCTAACCCTATCCTGACTATAGTTGATCCAATAAAAAAATATCACTCTAAGAAATCCTTGCCCCTCAGATCTAACTAGGACATTAGTGCTAAAAGTAAAAACCTATGACAGATAGAGATGCTTCAGAGGATGTATCCGGTCTCTTTAAGTATGTCACAACACTAATTGCTACATTCTGAATTCTGGTAAAGCATTATCAAAGCAAATTAATAACTTCAAGAATGTCACAGACACATAAACGAGCAATATATTCTAGTGGTGCCAGAGGGCTTCACCATAAAGCTCTTTAATGAAACAAAGTCCATTGGGGAAAAAACCAAAAATCTCATTGTGGTAGCAGGGACAGACGACATGAGTATGCTCACCCAGTCAGACATAAACTTTTAGCTATGGACCTGCGGCCAGCTGCAACTAAGAAACATACTTTCCAAGAGATTTCCAGTTGGTGAGCTGCATATTAACAAAGTTCATAAAATATTTTGTTGAATAGTAACAAATATACATATTCTAGGGATATCTATGAGCAGAAGAAGATACAAAAATATTACTGCAATAAATTGATTCAAATTGTGGAGTTGTTATTATTAGGACCCTGCATTGTTACCAGAGTGGAAATTGGTTTTATATTCCTTTCATTTTGCCCATCTTAGCTAGTGAAAACTGTCAGTATCATTTGTGTAAAGTCATTCACTACAAAAGATTAAAAGAAAATACAGTACAAGCATTACAAATATAATAAGGCTTACGCTTGATCTTGTAGTGTTCAAAGTCAATGACAGTTTTACTATTGACTTGAAGGGGAGCAGGATCAATCCTCCAAGGAAAATTTCCTGTATCAATAGCTGAAATAAATTAATACTCTTTAACTCAGTGAAGAATTGTTTGTCAACATCTCTTTACTCTGAGAACATGAATATCAAAGTAGCAATGGCAAACTGCTAAACACTGTGCAAGATCAAGTGAGTTAGTATCCCTATAAAAAATTTCTGGAAGTTTTGTCCCATTTCCTTCTGCTATAGGCTGCTTCTAATTTTCAGAAAAAAGAACCTCCTTTGAAGTAC